AAAAACGCGATTGCTGTTGTTGTTGTGGCAGCAAAATATTTCCTGAATTGGTTTTCGGGGAATATTGTGGGAGGGACAGTCCTTGGCTGAATAAAAGTTTTGACCGATCCGATATAAAGACCCGACTGACGTGGTAACTGCTTTATTTTAGTTGCCCTTACGAACACGGGTAAATTTTTGAGTTTCTTGCCCGCAGGGGGTAAGACGCTATTGCTGCTGTGGGGCAGTTTATCGAAGAAGACCCGAATCACCCTATTCGCTATTCGCCATTGCGCCCAACAAATGGAACTGTGCCTACCAACTTTTTGAAGGATTTTGCGGAAGGATCTTCTTAACTTGCGGCCTTACAAAAAAATTGAAGCCGAACGGCCATCAAGCGCCCAAAGCGAGATGGCCACACAAGCTGATTTTCACAAGAAAACTTTGGCTACAATAGCAAATTCTAAATAGTTTTTAACCGTTACTTCAACTCGACCTTCTGTCTGGTCGCAAAAACCGGAGGCTTTTACCCAATTATTTAATTCAAAAGATGAGTTGTTGCTAATAACGTTCTCCATTAATATCTTCACCCAGTTTTAGATTTTGTTGATGCAGGCAAAACTTCTGCCTTTAACGCAGCTACCGAGATCGTTCATCAGCTTCATCGATAAACGTTCCATTAAGCGCTACAAAATGGCATCGCATTGTCAGGATCCTTCAGTTCTTTTGCCAATTGATATTTATAACCCATCGAACCGAGGTTTTTATGCAAAAGTAATGCGCACTGAGCATCTATGGGAGTTGTTGTGCTGAGTGGAAGTGAAGCAGATGGTATATTGTGTTGAGTTGTGAGTCGAAACTTGGACTCATCAGCCGAGTGAGCCTCTAAATGTTATACTCAATATCTTGCCACTGGATTTGGTGGCATATCAGTTGATGTGGTCCAAGTATATTAAGTGATAACTGCTCAGAACACGAACTCCCAGTATGGGAGAATAGGAAGAAAATTATGAAAATGAAAATATGCATGGACGAATCATAGTTTGAGGGAGAGTAGCCTGAGGTGACTTCTCAGGTCACCCTCCGATGTAGCTCTCTTTGAGCCTACCTGACTATTGCAGCATTTTTCAGGCAGAGATATCTGCATCAAAGAAGCCAAAAGCTCCTTGGCGAAATAGGATAAAAAGAAATTACGAGATGCGACAATTAGCTGCCTACAGATGATGCTGGAGAATCAGCAGGGATAATGGTGAGGACAAGTATTTTGCTTTGTGCAGGGCTAGGTTTTAAAATTCTGGGACCCTCTTGCTGAATGATTGGTTACTGAGAAAAGACAGTGATAATGGATGAAATGTGTGCTGCTTTTGCAAGGCAAATCGCCTCAAAATCTGGAGGTCAAAAATATTTATTAGCAATGATGAAGTCAAGGAGATAAAGGGAAAACATATTATATTTTGATAGGGGTTAAATAAATAAATTAAAACGTCTGAAAAAATATTCGTCTTCCAGTTGAACGCATTGAAAAGGAAAAATATTTTGGCTTTTTATTTCTATCTCTTGTCATCGCAAACACAACATCGAATTTTCTCCTTCAAGAGCATTTTACTTACTCATTCATCAAAGTTCATGTTCCAGTTGAGTTTAGTATCAATCTCAAGCCTCGAATATTTACTGCATCAGATAAAGGGTTTCTCGTATTTAGTTTTATACCCATTTTCTTTGAGAGTAATCTATTTGAAAGAGAATGGTGTTCACAGGAAAAAACATAGTTGATCTCTACAATTTGTAAAATTCTTTCTCTGGAAGTTGGGTTGTGATTTCTCGACACTCCTATTGGATTTCTTGATCTGTCTTGGCTGTAGTTTCCTAACGCACTGCTTTCATATAAATATTCACAGGTGTGTAAAATCTCATGAAGTCCCCATATTTGTATGTGTGTACGAATATATACAAATGCTAAGGTGCATTTTAAGGGGATGTTGATTAATGACATGTCCAAACGTTAAGCATTTACTAACTACACTCTTGTAGTTGAGTATAGATTGCACAAAAAAAAACACATCGGTATGCTTATATTTAAATATATATATATGTGCTTATATGTATATAAGTGTGTGATTTTCTACTATATTTTTATTCACTTTGAAATTATTGCAAGTGTTTGTAGTCATCATAAATGCTTATATGAGCGTTGAGTTTTGGTATGGCATAAGAATGCACATATACACGTATATATGGTACATATGTATGTGTGCGAGGTTGTATAACCCACTTAAAGGTACACATCTGCTTCAAGTAATTGAAGTAACTTTTACGCAATTCACTTTCATTTATGCTTCGTAAGAAGTTTTGATCAAAAGAAAATGAATTAACCTAAATTTGTGTTGAGATTTGTTGGAAAGTGAGATTAAAGCATGATGTGCTTAATTTTGTTTATAAATAATCTTTATGATTATACTTATACTCCACACAGTTATTAAATTTATTGATTATTCTTTTTTAACTTTTTCTAGTCGATAAGGTCGCACGTTGCTTTGGCTCTCTGTATTTCGTCCAATTCTTATTCAAATTGTTATAATACAAAATGATAAAAGAAGACCCAGATTAAGGAACATCTAAGTAAAAATATTAAGTTTTTTATTCCATTATTGATCATACAACTTATTTGTATATGTGAGTCACAATTTTTTTCTAAAAAAGTAGTAAAGTCGTTTCTGGTGACTTATCAGCGGTCCTACCTGTATGGAGCCCAACTGGCACAAACCCACCTCGAAGTAGTAATGTCAGTTTACTTGACCCCATCTGAAATCGTAGCTCCTATTCCACTGGAAAAAGGTCAGACGGTAACTGAAAAATAGTACACCGAAGAGTGCTCACCAAAAGTTCCCAAAAATTCATTGGACAACAGAAAGATTTGCGGCGCTACTTTTTACATCCTGAAAACGCGCGATCCCCCGCTGCTGAAATGACGAGTAAGTTTATTGCGAGCTCTGAGCTCGATGAAATACGTCCAGCACCATATTTCCCAGGTATAGTACCTCGTCTTCTTTTCTGGTTATTTCCTAGAATTAAAAAAAAAATTTAAGAGGAAAGGTCTTTAATAGTAACGAGGTAATAAGTAATGCGGTTAATGCTGAATTTGATATGTTCAAAAAGCAAGACTTTGAATACTGTTCCCGGAGGTGGATCTATAAGCTTAAGAAACGTAATGAAATCAATAGCGGTTATGTAGAGAAGATAAAATGTGTTTTTTCATATTTTTCTGGTCAACTTACCGAACGAGGGGGCTAACATCGTATATACTCTCAAGTTGGACTCATAAGAACAGCTTGCAACGCGTAGCTGCAAAATATCAGCGATGCCCTGCGAATATACCTACGCATGATCTCTGCTTATATCCAATAAATACAAATATATCATTTAGGCAAATATCCAAAAATTTTACAAAATACCTTTAGTGGATCATCTTCACGTAAATCAACAAAAACACATAAAAAATTTCAATACAAAAAAACCGATTTTTTTGCCAAAAGCCATTTATGTATATTCGGAATTTCTAGTAAATCCTTGGGGTAGGATTAGGTACGATTTTTTTCAAATAAATCGGCCTCTGGTCCGGATTCTGGAAATAAAAGTAGTATTTCTCTTAATTTAAGCAAACAGTCACCTAATCGAACCATAAATACAATTTTTTTTTAATAGGTCAATCCCTATTTCTTTTCAAAAACAATAAATACAATCTGAAAAAGTTTCAAGTCATTCGGTGGGTAATTTTTCGAGATTTGTGAATCTTTACAAACGCACATAAGATTATATTAGCAGCTCGTAGTAGATGATTCCTTGCCTATCCCACCAAGCACACAACAAAACCTTCCTGGTCGTCAATCCGGTCTTGGCCACCGTCTGGGTCGCTTCCCTGACCTTTGACCACGAGCGTTTGCACTCAATGTTGCCGTAAGAGACCCATTCATCATCGCCAGCCACAGATTGCTTCAGAAAGGGCAGCGATCCTCAGATGGAAATTTGGTCCATCATGTTTTTGCGTTAGTTCATGTGGCATCCAAGCATCGAGCTTCTATTTGAATCCAAGATTATGCAAATGGTTCCAAACGGTTTTCTGGCCTATCTTTAGTTCCACAGCAATAAAATAAGTGCTCACGTGGCGGTCTTCTTCCACTATTTAAATGGTTTTATCGCAATTTTCGACGACAGGCTGCACCCTTGACATCGAAAGTACCGGAACGAATTCTAGCAAACCACTTCTGTGCTACTCGTTCGTTTATGGTGTCGGGCCCATAATATAATATAGATTAAATTTTTTCAGCCACTTTGGCTGCTTTTTCGCCTTGATCGAAGAAAAATTGTAAAGGATAACGAATTTTCTCTTTGCTGGTGTCCATCTTTTAAGAGCGCTCACAACGTACTGAGTCAATTAATCGAAAAACTCTCAAAGACAAACTTTTAGCGCGAATAAACACGTTTTCATCGTCGTATAGTATGACATGGTGCGACACGTAATACTAGTACTATGGTCAATAACGCCATCTCTTAGATAAAAACCGGACGAACTTTTTACAACACCTAATATTTGCACATGAAGTGGATAGGATTCGAGTCCTGGTCCGACTAACATTCAAAAATTATAGATAATTAATTTAAATAAATGAAGGAATTTAGATTTTGCAATTGTGGTCGCCCCTCGGCGGAAAATGTTAACCCCTCCAAGCGTATTAATGGCATGAAATAAAAGCTACTTATAAAAATCCATCAGTTGTTCGAAGGTATAAACTGTAGGACCCTCCATTTGTTGGGAAAATAAAAAAACGCAAAATCACAAATTGGAGGAAGAGCTCGGCGGAAAATTGCCTCAGCGGTTAGAAAGAGCCAATTATAAATATAAAATATACGAGTATAGATATATAGATAAACATCTAGATAGATGGAAAGTAATTTTATATTAAAAATTTTACGAAAACTATATTTTATATTAAAGTAATAATTTTTTATTTATATTTTTACAGGTGAAAATACCGATATTTCTCTACAAAAAGGAAAACCAAAAAACATACAAAGTAAGTACTATTGATGATATAATTATATTTCAAATATTTTTATTACACAAACTAAATAGCTGAGATTTTCTTGAAAAGATCATATCCTAAAAGCGTAATTTCCAACATTATTATATACTACATATATACTTATATAAAAGAGTTTATATTGGATGATTGGCGAATCAAACCGCAGCCTAAGAACTGATCATACAGACCTGAAGTTTTGAATGTGAACTCTGGGTATAACGCAGACATGTGTTAAAAAAGTAATTTTCCGAGCAAAAGACCTGGAACCTATTTATTCGAAGGAATTGTCCATACGGTTGATAGAGACTAGCGCCTTTGATAGACTAATTGTGGAAATTATTACTATCGAACTTTGATTTTAAATCCCCGCTTAGTCCAAAGTACCACCTATTAGATGGCTGACATTATCATTGGCGTTAATGCTGATCTCTAGATAGATAAAATTACTACAATCTGACTGTCAACAGTGCTGTGGGAGCCGAGTCGTGAATGCTTGACTGTTTGATTGATGAGAGGAGATATATTTCTTCTTGTCCTCGTTCATAATCAGACCCATTCGCAACGTGTTGCGTGGCGTCAGTTTATACAGCCGAAAAAGTTTTAGGGATACCAATATCCACACATAGAGGCAGCTCTTTACTGCGCCATGAAAAGTAACTTTCAAATTTTTCGAAAAGGTCATAAGGACTGATTTTTATGTTGGATTTATAAGGTTTAAAGCCACGCTGATAAGATCCAATCAGTTTGTTAACGTTAAGACTAAAGCGTCTTTCACACAATACGCTCAATACGGCTTCGACTCTTTTTAAGAACTGGGCAGAGAATAATAGTAGGACATGCATTTATTCGACCATATTCTGGAAAGAAGCTCTTGCATATGCATTATCAGCTCTTTGCGGTCATTTTTGAATAGCTCTGCCGATAGGTCAGCGGTGCTAGCCGTTTTGTTGTTTGTTAGAAGGAGCTCCTCAAATGAGCCTTGCTTTCCTCTTCAGCTCGCGGAATCTATACCATCCCGCACGTGTGGTGGTCGATCGCAAGGTTGTGAGGTATACAGTCTGTTTTCTCTCCTCCATAATTCGACTGCCGAAAACCAAGTGTTTCTGTAGGAGCAGTAAGTCTGCAAGGAAGCAACCTTTCAGCAAATGCACAGACGGGCAGCGAAACTTAGTATACTCTTGACATCAGTCACGAACCTATCTCCTCTGCTAGCTACTACCATGTGCTGATGCTAAAAGCTTTCAGCGGACAATATTTTCAGTTCTTAGTTTGAAAAAACTGGTAATAAAATAACTTACTTAAAAGTATATCTTCTCCGCAAGCCAAAAAATGCAAGTGCGACTCAGAGAGACCCCATCAAACTCAACTCATATTCAGTTAAGAAAAAGAGCTTTCAATATATTTAATCCGAAAATATGATTTTAATTCCTAAAATTTCTAGACTCCAGGATAATTACAAACGACATAAACTTTCAAACTAAATCTTCATATTTAATATTCAAAAGTCATTTCCTATCTCCATTTACAATCTGGAGCAAATCCTTTTTTCAATTTAAAGCAAACATCATTAAGCTTAAGTACACTATTTGCATTATTTCTAATTTCAATCGCGCATTTCTTCGCCGAGTGAAAAATATTTATATGCGTGTATGTATGTGTGTGTATAGTATAGTAAGTGTGTTTGGCTGCGCTCCTTATGACTAACTTCAGGCGAATTCAAATGCTCATTTACATTTTAATTGAATTTCGCATATTTCCGGATTTACTTACTGAAGAATTCTCTATTTAATGTTTGGAATTATACAAAACGCATTTATTCATTTGTGTGACTGCGAGTGTTGGCGTGGAAAAACAAACCGGTTAGAGCGTGTCCTTGTAAAATGATATGATGACCTTAAATGAGTACGAATATGAGATCAAAAGGAAATGCTATGAAGATAAACAGATTGAAGTGTAATGAGTGCAGTGAAGTGAATTTGATGGAAACATCATTAAAGAGTGATAGATGAACGCTGTTTAAGTGAGGAAGAGCGGCGTTCGATTGAAACCAAGGTCTACCGGACAGTGCAAGGAATAAATAAATCAGTGAACGTACATTTAGGAAGACAAATGGTGGAAAGACGGGTTGCTTACATTTCAGCCATTGGGTCCAGAAAACGCGTAATATGAGTTATGGTGGAATTCAGAGACAGGCTGAGTACGGATATGGAAAGGCAGGCAGATAAATAGATTGAACGATGAAGGGAGAGAGATAAAGTAAGAGAGAGAGGGAATGAGAGTAAGAGAATCAAAGGGAGGGATATATATTTAAAAAATGGGGTAAGGGGGGCAAATTGAGAGACAAAGGGAGAAAAAGAGAGAGGAAGAGGAAACAATATTAATAGAGGTAAATAAAGACAGAAAGAGAGGCCGAGAGAAAAAAAAAGGAATCAAAGGGAGAGATATGGATTAAAAAAGGGAGTTAGAGGGACAAATTGAGAGACAAAGGGAGAAATAGAGAGAGAGGAAGAGGAAAAGATTTTAATACAGGTAAATAAAGACAGAAAGAAAAACAGAGAGAAAAAAGAGAATCAAAGGGAGAGATATGGATTAAAAAAGGGGGTAAGAGGGACAAATTGAGAGACAAAGGGAGAAATAGAGAGAAAGAAAGAGGAAAAGATATTAATACAGGCAACTAAAGATAGAAAGAAAGGCAGAGAGATAAACAAAGAAAAAATAAGAGAGAAAGTAAGAGAGTAAAAACAGAGAAAGGAAGACAGAAAGGAAAAAAAGCAAAGAAAGGAATAGAGAAGACAGAAAGAAAGAGAGAAAGGAATAGAGAGAGAAAAAGGGAAAAGGAGAAAGAGGAATACAAATAAAGAAAGAAATAAAAAATGAAAGAGATAAAGATAGGGAGTGATAAAAAGAGAGAAAAGAAGCGAAAAACAAAGTGAGTGTTAATAGAGAGAAATAGAAAATCAGAGTGAAAGAGAGAGGGAGGGAGAGAGAAGAACAGATGACGGCCGCGGTAGCCGAGTGGTTAGCATTACGAACTGCTATTTGGGAGGCTCGAATTCAAATCCAAACCAACATTCAAAAATTTTAGAAAATTAATTTAAATAAAAAATTAAGTCAAAGAGAGAGAGAGAGGGAGAGAGAAAGGGAGAAAATGAGAGAGAGAGAGAGGGAAAGAAAGACAGAAAGAGAGAAAGTGAGAGAGAGAAAAAGGGAGAGAAAAAGAAACGGATGTACAGATAAATAAACGAGGAGATGATCGGACTGATAGGCAGTAGGGACGTAGCGGAAGTCTCCATCTTTCCTAGTTTGATATACATGAATAAACGGCATGTAGAATGGAGAGATAGACAAACAGATACATATGTATATGATCAGTGAGAGGATCTTATTGGTAGGAGGAAGATCAGAGGCATTGAATGGTCGGACAGATATTCTCTGACAAATATAGAGAAGAGCTTTAGCAGTATCATGAATATTCGTTGATATGTGTACTTTTTGGCATAAGACGCACAAAATTAGTAAACTTTGCGCTTAAGCTAAAGTCGCCTATGAAAAGGGATGATAACGGAATTGGTTTTCGTAGTTAGCTGCAAAACTCCTTTTTCAAGCACTCTTCTCCCACGGCATCGCTCAAATTGATCGCCAGGCGGAGGTCAAGTGAAATGAACGAGGAGTTGGGTGGACTGGCGCATGGCGAATTGCTATTTAATGAATACGTTGAGTACCACTCAGCAGGCTTATATTATATGTAGGCACCCTGCATGGAGAAATACCAATTTTTAACTAGAATCCAACTAGTTTACATTTTAACATCAACTTGTTCATCTCCCATCCATTTTCTATATATGCAACTCATATTCTTAACATGGCGATGTCCTCAATTGTCAGTCTATGCATCAACTTCATACTAGTTAAATACCAGTTCATATATACCATAGTTAAAATACCGCTCATACTAGTTGATAACTAGGTCGCCTCAGTTAACCTAACCCAGCCAGTCTTCTTCGTACTAGTTAATTGATCTCGTTGTTTCAAAGAATTGAGCTGATTGTAATGAAGTTTTCTGTGTGTTCAGGTAGATTTGAGAATGGTTTTGAAAAATTCCTTTCACGGGAAGTTGACTAGACACCGACTTTACTTAAAATTAGGTACATTATTTCTTTCCAGAAAGTGGATATGAAATCGATCTATGTATTTGAAGCTATGTGTGACCAGTGCTTCTAGTTACGTATGTGGTTTATTTTTTTTGTAAACCTGCCAACTGGTATGAATTCGTCAATAAAATACTAGTATATTAACAGAAAATTTTGCAAATTAGTCCAGATTTTACCGCTGCAACTAAAGATATTCGCGAAGTTTATTTGGATCGTGCTCCAGCACTCTGCACAGTAAAGAAATGGTTCGCGAAATTTCGTTCTAGAGACTTTTACCTCGAAGATCAACCTCGCAGTGGACGGCCTTCTGAGCTTGATGACGATGTTCTAAGGACTTTAGTTGCGAATAACTCACGTATTTCGACGGAAGAGCTTGCCAGTGAATTGAACGTCAACAAATCAACTGCGTTTCGTCGTTTAAAAAAGGTTGGGTACACTTTGAAGCTCGATACATGGGTGCCACATTAGTTGAGTGAAAAAAACAAAGTGGACCGTATGTCAACAGCAATTTCTTTGCTTCGACGGATCAAAAACGAATCTTTTTTGGATCGGCTCGTGACTGGTGATTAAAAATGGATCCTGTACAACAATGTTCAACGCAAAAGAATATGGAAACAGGCACTCGAAGGGGCGGAACCGATGTCGAAAGGTGGATTGCATCCGCTGAAGGTACTGCTGTGCATTTGGTGGGATATCCGAGGCGTGATCTATTTTGAGCTCTTACCAGCTGGAGAAACGATCACTGCCAACAAGTATTGTCAGCAATTGGTCGAATTGAAGAAAAACGTCCGATTTTGGCCAATCGCAAAGGAGTTCTTTTCCAGCGTGACAACGCCAGGC